ATTTCTGTAGCGGCACGCTTCATTAACCGAACCAATCTGTAGGTAATTAACTGGCCAGAGCAGACAGACGAGCACATGAGGAGAGTTGTGTACATGCACACGTGGGTGTAACACAGTGGCTGGAGCAGGTAGATGACTGAGGAGCCCGCTGTACAGCTGACACAGAAGCAGAGGCCAGTTATCTCAGGAGAGTTCATTGATGGGTCTCTGGGTAATCAGAACTCAAACAGCAGCTCTCTGTGCAGCTGTGTACAGGAGGCCATACTGTAGAAACACTGGGAATACACCCAGGTCTTTTCTTTAGGACACCCAGCCAAAAGAGTGAAAGGTACAAATGTGTGAACAGTATGTGGTACAGCCAGGAGTGGAGTGGAACTCACCTTGGTCAAACTGCCGCTGCATGCTCTCCATCTCTGCTTTGTTGCCACTGACTCTGTAGATGCCCTCTGTGCTCAGACCTGGTGAAGAGAGAAGAAGGAAAAGTGTCTTTCCTTGATTCTTTTGGAGCATACATCACATACGTATATGGACTGATATATATATAGATATAGATGTGTAGTAGCTGCTTTGTCACCTTCAAAAACCCTTTGATACAGTACAGCTAGCGCGGGCAGCGGTACAAGTCTCTCAACGTCTCCCATCTAAAGGCAATGCTAAGCACTATTTATTTAACTTCTAAAGTCGCCCCACATGACCGTTAAAAATACCCACAAGGGCATGGCGACATTCTGAGGCCGTCCGTGTGACCATTTTTTAACGTGAGTGAGTGTGCAGACTGTGCATTTTTTTTTCTCCTCCTTGACTTTACCTTGGACCAGTGGTGGAGCACTGAGACATTATGACAGCAACACATGGATATATAAACAGACACGAGGACGTCTATCCCAAATCAAGAGTACTGTCCCTCCTCCCAAAGAGAGGAGGTGAAGCCGGAGGTGGCCGAGTCCAAGGTGGTGAACTGACGGACCGTAGACGGGATTATAAATGAGCAGATCGGTGGGACAGCTGATTGGTTGGTCTGGAGATAAAAGTTTCCAGGCAAGGTTGAGATGGTTTGGACATGTGCTGAGCAGAGATAGGGGATACATCGAGCAAAGGTTAGAGGAGATGGAGCTCCTCGACGGATGGGGATGGTTGGAGAACCAGAGGTGGAGGAAAAGATGAGATACAAACGTATTGTATGTATATTTAACAATGAAAAAAAAAAACTCCCAGGAGTCCCAGGAGGTCAGAGATGGAAAGTCACAGGCTGTGTTTGTACGTAAACACTGGTTTTATTCCATTCCTCAACTCCATTTTAGTTCATTAATAGTTTTTCCTCCCCCCACTTTACCAAAATAATAAGCTTTCACCTCCCACACGCATCGGCACCTTCGCCGACACTCTGGTGGCAATCAAGGGGAGACAAAGAGCAATCTGAGGAAGGGTGAGGGAGATAGGGAGTGGCAGATAAAGGGGGAGAGATAGAGAGAGGCAGGGAGGAAATGAGAGAGCTCTCAGTCGAGGCACACGGCATCGATCTTTTTCTTCTACCAATCAATTATCCACAAAAGCTTTTTCGAGCCAGACGCTAAGAAAACAGGGATGGTTCAGATAGGGAGAGGGGAAGAAGGGAAGTGGTGGGGGGGGAGGGGACGAGAAGCCAAGGATGTGGAAATATATAGGAGGAGTGTGAGGATGCATAAGAGTCAGGGTCAGACTGATGAAAGTGAGATGGAGGAAAAAAATGAAGGGATTAAGATAAGGAGGGATTGGAGGAACGGAGATATGTGGAAAATAACAAATAAAAAGAGAGTTTACAGAAGAATAAAAAAAAAAAACAAGTTGAGAGTGTCGGAGTAGGAATCAGGAAACACAAAAGGTGAAACCCTGGAATCAGCTTCCTCTTCCTGCGACTTCAACAAAGAAGCACTTCCTGGGCACAATCTAAACACCAAACGCCTGCTTCACCGGCATCCTCCTCTCTAGCCACGGTGAGAACACGTTGATCAGCCCCTGAACCAGGTCTTTCTCTGGGTCCTGCAGCCCAGAGGCTCACATCATAGTTCTCTGTGGAGACAGGCAGTCGCTGGGTGCTGCCCTTTACGTCGCTATGGAGGTTCCTACAGGCTGCAGATATGCCCGTACACGCTAACACACATTTATCAAACCGGCACCCGGAGCAGAGAGCACTGAGGCCACCACTCCTGAGAAGAAGAAGAAAAAAAGCGCCAGAGCTGAGGGGGAGATAACGGCAGTCGCCGTGGATTGATTTTTATACAGCTGCATGTCTACGAGCTCAAAGCAGGAGAATGACACAAAATAATAACAGAGCTTATTCTTCCTCGGGACAAATGAGCTGAGCTGAGCTACACCAGATAAATCGACAAAGACGCTGGAATAAAAAGAAATGCATAAAAGCGGCGGCGAGAATTAAGTGCGTGTCTGTTTGAGTAGGTACAAGTAGGCTAGGTTCCAGTGAAGGGGGGGTTATTTTAGCTTCTTTAAAATATATACTTAGAGGGTATTTTGTGCCATTTTTAAAGAAATGCCAGGAGTTGCGCATTCATCATCATCTTGGTTTTTGTTTCCCTTCTTGGTTCTTAATTTGTTCGAGCTGAGTCATTTAATATATAAACCCTTCTACATTCTGTGAACAGCTTTCGGTCTGCTTTCCTGGCAAACACTGTTATGGCGTCTTTTTAACAGAAGGGGGGGGGGGTTTGCTGGTTATTTTGTAAGAGAAAAAAATATTTTTTTGTTATGGTTGGCTAAGTAAAAAAAAAAAAATACCACGGTACCATTCTGCACTGCCATACTGAAGACTATTATGTCTGAAGATTACTGACTCATATGAAGTTAAGTTTGATACTGGAGTTCTCACTGACAGTGTTTTTCCAACACAAGGACGCCAGACAATAGGAGTGTTATCAATGACAGAGAATCGACTCAGGAACACGTGGGTTGGGATTATGGTTGATTCTTGAGAGGTTTTTTTTTGGGTTTTTTTTGCCCAAGATAGACCAAAAAGAGGAAGGATGTATGTCCAAGCTGGAGGCCAAAGGTCAGCTACAAAAAAACAAAAACACCCACACACCCAACACATGTCATGACATACCATAGGGTCAGCACTGTATGGTGAATAAATAAGTCATTGTAGCTCATTTCCCCTTCCAATCAGCCCGTCCATGCTCTGGGCATGTGTGTGTGTGTGTGCCCTTCTGCACAACATGTGTTAGTTTGTAAACAATGTAGATCTGCTCACATTCTCAGTGGATCCTCGAACAGGATGTAGGAGGAGTAGACACACACACACACACAAGCTTAAGAAATGCCAAAAAAAAAAAAAAAAAAACTGAGCCCAAATGCTCTTTCAATTTCCTACCTTGTGATATTGATCGGACAATGATGGTGGAGAACATTACGTGAAAAGCCCCCCCCCCTCGGCCCAAACCACATGGACACACACACACGTACGTAGAGTGGGAGGGGAGCAATGAAAGGAGAATGAAGATGGAGGGGAGTGAAGGAGAAAAACAATTTTACTGAATTGAAAGAAGTGACAATAAGAATAGAAGTACGGTCTGGGTAGAAGATGAAAGAGATGGAATCTGACAAGAGGAGGCAGTTGGAAAGATAGGGGGAGGATGAGTGCACGGGGGGGAGGAAGGACACACAAAGAGGAAGAGGAAACTGAGACTAGGAAGTTATAATACAGCAGATGTTGACTGTTTCAAAAGTGGGGAATAGTCAGAGCAGGTACAGACCAACACTAGGTTGTAACTGAGAAGTCAACAACTTGATTTTTTTTTATTATTATTATCATTGCTGTGACTACTGCAGTCAACAACAGGACGTCTGAGGTGGAATCTGACACCGTTCTTTCTTCATTCACAGTTTTCCTTCCACACTCCTACACTGAGGCTTCAGCAATCCGCACAAAAACAGGGCCAGGAATCAGGAGGCAGATTACAGTGGAATGCACAGACATGACAGAAGCAACAACAGCTATATTTTGATAAACTCACTGCAGTCCATCTCATTTCCTGGACGCCAGTAAACACAACATCAACCATAAGGCCTAAAGGCAAACAACAAAACCCGGGCTTGGAATAGTTATTAATTTCAAAAAAGTTTTATCATATAAAACTATTTTAATATCTGTTAATACCCCAGTTAGATTACACTGATAGACTTTAGTACCAAAGATGGTCTATACGTTCTTCGCAGACATTGGCTCCACCGGACGTCTCACTTGGTTTTACTGTAACAGCTGGTGGCAGAGGAAAGAGTAAAGCTGGCAGGGAGGCGCAACAACAGACTGGTGGGCGGTGTGGGAGGTGGAGGAGGACCGGGGTGACATCTGGACAACACAGCGGCAAGGTTTTAAAAGGCAACGCCACGAGAGAATTTGGTGAGACCCGAAGAGAAGAGGACGAGGGAGAGGAAAGGAGAGGAGGAGTTGAGAGGAAAAGACGAGAGAGGGAGAGTAGCAACAAGAGGAGGAGAAAAGGGCTGAAAACTGCCACTTACATCTACGGATAATACACACTATATTTACATTTAAACTGTAGTATTTCAGACATAATTACTCTTAACATGATACTTACCGCTAAAATATTTGAAACTGTTGAAAATTCTATTTTTCCCCCCCTGAATGTGACTCTGATGAGTTTGTAATTGACTGTCATCGACTGTAATCACTGTCATCTGAAGAGGCCTGATGACCTTTCTCTGTCTGAACAGTCTGCCACTCACACTTGGTAACGATCAGCGTTTAATAGGCATTTCACACTGGTGTTTTACCTGACATGGATCGTTACAGCAGTGTCATTAAGAATAATGAGTGTATGAAGGAAAACACAGGTGTGTGTTTGTATAACCAGACTATACACTACAGATGTTTACAACAAATTTCCCTAAACTGTGAGTGCTATTAAAGCTGCTACTCTCACCTGTCACTTCAATGAAGCGGATGCACTTCTCGATGAAGACCGGGATCGGCCTCTCCGCTGAGACCACGGTGGACAGCGGCATGCCGAAGTAGTTGCTTTCAAGGGGTTTGGAGATGGAGTGGCGTGGTTTGGCTCGAGGTTTCTGAAGAGAGAGAAAGAGAAAAAAAAAAGTGATTATTATTATTAAGATTCTTAGGACAGTGAAGTCGGTGAGACGCATTCGCTGGAGCTTTAGAGGCACGCGTTTCAGAAACGACATGAATTACTCTCCAAAATTTCTGTTGATATTTTCAAACCAACACATTCAGCACCCTCAGAGAAAATTGCATCTGATAAAAAAAACCCGCGCGGTGGGTGTCAGCGAGTGATAACACGGTGTGTTTATCAACTCCTCCACTACTCTCTTCTTCCATTCACACTCTCTCTACCGCACCGCAGCTCAAAGATAACCAAAGTCCGTACGTCCACTCTTAAATTGCTTTTTAAAATCCCGCTTTTCTTCTGGGAAAACGGAGGAAAAACTCTGTAACTTTCTGGTGGCTGTGGTAATCGCCCGGTGTTTTAATAGTCTCTAGTGAAAACGTTTGGATGCATCACAAGGCCTGGATCTCGGGTAAATTTGTCAGGTTTGCCTCTTTTTGAAGGTTCTGTCCTGGCAAACCGTGTGGTGAGGCGAGGATACACGGTCGGTTGGGCACAAACACTTTATGTGCTGTGCAGGCTCTGAGAGAGAGAGTGAAAGAGAGAAAGAGAGAGAGAGAGAGAGAGAGATAGAAAAGGAGCAGCACTGCTCAGCTTGGCCTCTGCTGAAGATTCAGACCAGAATTCTGATGCTAACCATACACAGCTACTGTACAAAACACAGCGCGTTACTCGAGGAACATTAATTAGGCAGGTTGTTCTTGTAAGCTTTTATCAGTGCTGCTGTTTGAATATATAAGTCTAGTCCTCTAGTTTTTTTTTTGTGCTGGATTATTACCATGCAAGCTATCATCTCTTTGAGTATACCATCAAACTGAGCCTTTATTTTTGAATAATATGTGGTCGTCATTTTCATTGCATATAAAGTTGACTATGACAAAAGACGCAACAAGGAAAAAGTACCTTAATTCTTTAAAAAGGTTATCTTTAAATTATTTGAAATATCTAAGCTGTGAATCACTTGTTTTACTCCACAGGTGGGATTCAAACTATTATTTAAACAAAACAAAAAAAATCATGATTTTCTAACAATAGACATCCTTTGCAAAGGAAAATATAATGGTTAAAATCCCCCAAATAAACCAGGGAGGATGAAAACAAAGACGTCACGCTGTCATTGACTTTAATACAAATTACTATGGTTCCTCCATGTCTCAGTATCAACACGCTTCAGCAAAAACAAACAACACCAAACTAAAACACAAAAAATGGATCGACAACGTTTGGAATTCTTATCACACCTTTTTTTTGTTCTGTAATCTGAACAACTGGTTTCTGTCAACGGTTTTTAACTTTGACATTCTTTCTACGATAACAAGCTGACTAGCTGAAGTTGCACGACTGGTCTTCCTGGTTTTGTTACAGATAACTTACTTCTACTGCTATACATACACATATATGATTCGCTTTGTGATGTCACACATTTTAAAGACACATTCCCAGGTTTTGAGAGATTAGGAAACTTCTACTTGTCATAAAAACTGACTCTCGTATGTGTACAAAATCTCTAACATGGAGTACATCAAATGAAGACAAGAAAACACATTTTGTTTTTCTAATCAGGTTATTCTGTGCGAATCAGTCGTCCAAACATTCACCCAGTCAGAGTCAATAGTGCCATCGACTTATAAACTGCAGCATGACAGAAGGTTGAGGTGAGTTTCTATGATATTCTCCAGAGAAGTGCTTTGTTACTCCCCCATCTCAGAGATGACTCAGCAGCACTGGAGGCTCAGCGAAAGTGTCTACACTTCACTTAAACCTGATCCCACTGCGAGGAAATGTCCAGGTTAAATAAAAGCAATTTCCGAGCCAGTCAGTAAAAGAACTGCTCCTGGTTATTATTTTTCCATTATGACCAAAATGTGAGTGACTCTACCAGAGGAATGGCTTCAGACACTTAAAATGTTTTATGTAACCATCGCGATTGGAAATGTTTTATTTGGAAAAAAAATAACCAATTGATGTGGTTATGTACAATATGGGCAGAAACAAAGAGAATTGTGGCGAAGGGGCTGTAAAATCTCAGTCGAAACCTTTTCCAGCGTTTAGCTCCCATCACTTAAGTCTTTTATTAATTTAACACAATGATTGCAGGGGAAACATGCAAATGGGCAAAAATATGTTTAGTTGAAGCTAAAAATACACTAAAAATGCTTGTCACCTTCTGCTGCCTTCCTCTGCCGCTCTCTTGTTCCAGTTAACTCACACACATTCAGCAATTGTAGATTCTTTTTCTCAACAGCAGGGGATCTACTGTACACGTGAAGTACGAGTACATGTACTTCCAGGTTCACCAAAAACCCGTGAGTGTTTAATGGATATAAAAGGGTGGGTAAAAATAGACCAAACTCCTTGGCAACTTGTTTTCTAGCTCAGGGTAGCATCCTATCATCTATTTGCGTCTTCTCTGAAAAGCTGTGTTATGTATCAGTGCCACATCTTCATCCAGCAGACTTTGTCATTCACTCCCTACGTCGTCTCCTCCACCTACTTTCCCCCTTCTATCTCTCACCGTCTTCTATACCCCTGCAGTTCTGCCTTCTGGCCACTCCTTGTTGTTGCTGAGTGAGACGGAACGCGTTGCCAGCACCGAGGACACAAAACCAACCTCGACCACAAAAGATAAACAATAAAACACATTTTCCTTAATAATAACACGGAGGACGGCGTATCAAACATTTAGAGTCCGCTTTATGCTGAAGGATGCATAAAAACGCCACAATCCCCACTCCACCAGAGCGGCGCTGCTTCCCTTCAAACACAAACACCCGTTTCCCTTTCTCTCCTCTTATCTCTCATATGAGGACACTACACTGGTACTAGGTGACTGAGGAATTTGAAGCATTTCTCTTACAAGCTGAGGAGGATTTAAGCTGTAGGAGGTGGCGAGGGGAGAGAATGGAGTGGGAAGGAGAGAGAGATAAAGAAAAAGTAGCGCAGGGCATTTAAATGAGTGTAGAAAAGTTGTGTAAATCTGACTGGAGCTGGACTTACAGAAAATATATGCAAACACATTTCAAATAGCACTAACTTGCGTTTTTTTTCAATGCTCAAATAGCACTAACTTGCGTTTTTTTTTCAATGCTCATCAAAATAATGTCGACATACTTACTCTTACTGGACTCAGCGAGGTATCAGTGATGAAATGATCACATATATATTGGATTTAATAGCTTCCATATCAATTCTATAATGTTGGCACACTGGTAAGGCTGATGCACCAACCCAGTAAGACGGCAGCCTGGGGGAGTTTCCCTATTATTGCAGCATTTTCAATTGAAAACAATAGGCCTTAAGGTAAAAGTAAAGTGAATGTTGTAGACCATACGTGTCAAACTCAAGGCCCGGGGGCCAGATGCGGCCCGCCGAGCCGTTTTGTGTGGCCCGCGGTTTAAAGGTTTTTTAATTACACAGGATTGAACAATATTTTTATTTTGAATAACTAATATTCACTTGCAGAAACATATAATAGACTGTTATGGAGTAGTTAAATCTACAGCAGTCCCCAACCTTTTTGGTTCAAAAGACTGGTCAGCCAGCACCACCCGTTACCCCTGACCTGTTTTTCCAAAATATTCTCTTAAATAGAGAAAGTAAATGGATTTTCTTTGAATGAAGTAAATTAGTAAAAATTAAGTACATTTTTTCACTGTGTCCCAAATGACCTATGGATACTGGTCTGCAGGGTTGGGGGACCCCTGATCTATGCAGTCTTCCATTTACAAACTGTATTAATGCTGTGTGCATCCATTTACAAACTGTATTAATGCTGTGGCCGCCGGTGAAAATGAGTGTGACACCTGTGTTGTAGACAGATAAAAATGTCCAGACAAATGTAAACATTTCTGTTGTTCAACTTCTAATGTACGTCCATTTACTGAACTTGAATTGAGATAAGCTTTCCTCTTTGTGTCAAATACTGTGTTTTGATAAGAATGTAATCTTCTGTGATCTGTGCCACAAGGTTAAGGCGTGGAGCCGACACGTATTAAAAAGCATGGCGCCGTGCGTTCACCTTGGACGGTTTCAAATGCTGTGTAATGATACAATTATTAATCACTACAATTTTTGTCACATTGCATTATATGGCTGTAACTGTTTCACACAAGAGCAACAAATGACATCCTATAATAGGGATATTTCACATGAACTTAGCCCGCACATTAACTCCTTTAAGCAGCTAAATGAATTTTTTTTTTTTAAGTTATAGGTTTTGAGAGAAGTGAACAAAATGGATCTGTTACGCAGTGACAAAAAAGTACCACAAAGCCAGGTGGAAAGCCTACTTAGTGGCTTCTTATCGATCAGAATCCACACAAACAGAAAGAGTCAGTTCCACACCATGGCCTGGTCACTAACAGATACAATACATCTCCCCTACAATGAACCGATAACTCAATATTGTGTCATCCTCAGGGGACTCCAGGCTGCAGCAGATTGAAAATGGGCTTTTATCTTTGCGACAGCTGCTTAGAAGACAGGTGATGGAACCTGATCACTTTGTTACAACCACAGCGAAGCCATAATGGCCTGTAATGTGTCTTTTCCAGGTCCCAGAGTTGCGGCGCGGCACAAATCAAAAGCGCTAATTAGAGAAATGACGCTGGTCTGAATTCATCTGGCTCGAGTTTTCGACGGTGCTTCAACTCTAAACCGCCTCCTCCCCGTTTTTCAGCAGTTGTGCATCTATTTGGTGTTATGTGATACTTTATCGATTCCCCTTTTCAACTGGGTCCCCTCTGGCTACGGGGTCAGAGCACAGGGCTGGGCAACGTCAGTTCCACTGAGTGTATATTCGCTGATGTGGGGCCCAGACTCGGCTGGCCCGATTTTCGTTTGCAGTCTGACCAACGTCTACTCTCCTGCACCAGTCTCGACGTACTCTCATCCAGAATAACAAATGAGACCAAGTGAACTGAGAGCAAAGTCTGCTAGTGCATTAAGAGGAAGTTTTAAGCAGTGACAGATGACAAGCCTGGGCTGTGAGAAAATATTAATCACACCCCTCCTGTTCTACCCTACTGGCAGCCATCATAATCACCACAGAGGCACATGGACAACATATGCAGCCCGTAACATCTATTCAGGGGGCACTTGTGTGCGAATGATCAGCATGCCGGAGTGATAAGCCTGACGGCGTAAGGTCAGAAGTGTCAGCGCAACATGTGGACATCACAAGGACAAACAGAAATGAGCAGCAGAGCGACAAAGTGGAAACTGTGAATCCGTCAGTTCTTTTTTAACATCCAAACTGCAGTTAAAGCTTGACGGGGTTTTATGAATATCACTGTCTTTGTCCATAAGGACATGGACGCAGTATTGATTTACAAGCATAAAGGCAGGAAAAATCATTACAAGAGCACTGCGGGGGGGTTAGAAATGAGGTTTTTTTAAAAATAATATACAAGATTATGTAAAAAATGGGAAAGGGTTAAAAGTTGTTATTTCGGAAGACTTACATTTAACTAAACATTTATGGCATTTTTTTATTATGATTACACTGCTGAATGTGCCATTTAGAGCAGAAGCCATAATACAATAGAATCTGCTGCCAAAGTGATTCCACCTTAATGTTTTGTTCATTTAAAGTGCATCACTTCCAGTAAGTGACAACTCGGTTGGGACCCCTTACTGTTCGCCTATTACGACGATCACTTAATGAACAGCAGGGATGTTTACGGCTAATAGGACTATGTATAAACCTGGATATGGCTTTTATTTTCCTCAATTAAATTACCAGTAAGATAGATATTGACTTTCTATCCTGGGAAAATAAACATGCTGTAGTTTAGTAAATATTCCACGCAGCGTGAGTAGATAACACATAACTGTGTTTAATGAGCATCTTTTCCTGCTCGATTACATTATATACTTTTTGGTGTAGAACTGCAGTATATGAAATCCGTCTCTTTCTTTTGATGATGTGGCTAGTTAACGGAGCTCCCACAGAGCAGTCGGGGAAGCAATTATGTTAGACAAGCTTTTGGGGGAACGCTTACTGTAAGAATGTGGCATTTTCACTGAGCTTTATGTTTTTCGTGAAGAGGAGTTAGACATAAAAGTGTAGGTTGCTCTGTTAATATTTTTTTCCCGACTGCAATTAGTCTCAATAGATATTTCTTATACAAAATATTATGCAATAAAATGACACATTTGAGCATTGCACCTTTAAACATATACACAAACCCACTGACCTTTGTATTTCTGCGCAGACTCTTGAGGATATTTCTCCTTTTGGGGTCTTCGTTCTCCTCTATGGAGTTGTCCTTTTGGGCTCCTCCATCTTCCTGGCTGGCCTTGGGTGGACCTCCCATCTCATCATCACTTCCTATAGAAAAGCTCGTTCTAAAACTGCTGAACTTGCCGAGCCTCTTGGATCTGTCCCGGTAAAGCTTAGGCTTTATCCCGTACGCAGACAACTTTCTCCTGCGCTCAAGTGAGCTGCTATCTGCTTCACTGTCTGACCCGTTCCCCCCAGCGCTACCGTTTGCCTGACCTTTGTTAGCATTGCGGATGGTGATGATCTTGCCCTGTGTGCTGTCGTGAGGGACCGAGTAAATGTTTTCTTCTTCTGTGAATCGTGGTTTCACAGCATCCATGGGCTCTGCATAGTCTGAGGGGTCATAGCCACCGTCACTGCCTGAAGCCCAGGTGACATTTTGGGGCAGGGAACGGCGATTGGTGCCGCCTTGCTGGTCAATGAATGAACCGAGATGTACCTTACGCACAGGCTTGGGTTTAACCTGAGGAGGAATCTTGTTGTTGAGCTTTTCAAAGGTGCTTAGTTCAGAAATGACAGAGAAGGTATCGCCTGTATCCAGATCCGACGTCTTAAAGCTCAACAGGTGGGAGCTTAGATTTCCGTCCTCCCTCAAGGTTGGGTATGGTGGTGATGGATCAATATCATCCTCTGAGTCCATAAGTATGTTGACCGGACTGGGAGAACCACAGCGAGGGCTAATGCTCTCGTTAGTACACGCCTCAGCCACGTGGTCATACATGTGTGTGGCTTCAACAATAGTGCGTTTCTCCACCACATCCTTAAGGAACGGCTGAAAAAGATCGATCTTGTGAAGCCCCCCTACGACCCCGCCATGTCCACAAATCACTGTGTTAAACCTAGCATCTATTTCATGGGCCAGTTCTTCTCCCTGATTCACTTGCTCCTTAGCAGAATCTGAGTCTGACAGTTCCATCTGACTCTCCCCTACAGCGAGCAACTGAATCGGGATGATGTCTTGAACTTCACACAGGAAAGCACACAAAGTTTCCAGAGAAGCCTTACGGCGAGCAGAATAAACAGCAATGTATCCATGGACCAGCCCGGTTTTTCGTAGAGAGAATGTGGAATGGAAAGAGAGTAGTGACAGCTCAATACTCTGCCTCTGACCTCCAATACTGAGATCCAGCAGAACAGAGGTGCCACTGCTGAGAGAGGAAACAGGGCGACAATGCTGGGGTAACAAAAATGGAGCAAGAAGTTGGTCTAGGTCATACGTGTCTCCACACATCATGCATATGACTATCTTCAGGTTGGTCTCTAGGCCTGACTGGGATTGAGTGTCTCTTAGGGATGTTGACGGAGGTAAGGGAGGTGAGCTGCTCCCTATGCTCCTCCTTGTTTCTAAGACGCCTTTGAGCAGCTGGTTGATCTGCTTTTCACTGACATTGCGTGTATATCCCATACCTGGAGAAGCGGGCTCTAGGTACGCACTCTGCAGCTTTCCAGCCACTTGCTGCCCATGTTGAATGAGAGTCTGAGCCGTTTCACCCCCTATGTCCCCTATTGATCCCACACCCCTCTTGGTGACCAGAAGCAGGGATAGTGGGAGTTGGGCAAGGCTGTTTTCCCTTTCCCTCCTGCTTATTGTTGACTCCCTTAGCTTTTCTATACTCTCAACAACATAGGACAGTGATTCCTTAGAATTGTACAAACACAGGCAGCCATGAGGTGTAAATGTTGGTGTGTGAAACGAATTCACTGGCAGACGTACATTTCCCTCAATAGGACGCAGGGTTAACTCGTACAGTTTGCCGTCTAACACGTACCGGTCATCACTGGTGCATAAGGCTCTGATCTCATTTGCCATTTCTCTGGCTAGGCCATCTTTTCCTAGTATGACAAGGTTTATTCGTTCAGCCCTCCCCCCATCCAGCCTTGTCAAGTCTGATGATGGGTAGCGAGTTGGGAATCTAGATGCTAATATTTGTTCTAGTTTACTGTCCACACAGTGAGGGCTGTTAGGGCATGTGTCCTTTGTGGGGTGATAGACGAAGTGAATGTGTTTTAATACCAGAGCGTCCCTTTCTGCCTGCAGCTTCTGCAGAGCTTTAAACCTCTGTTCTTCACCCAACAGCTCCTGGATGGCTCCCATTTTCTCCTTACTCGGCTTAGCATCCACTTCCAGCTCATAAAAGAGCTCAGAGTATTCAAGAAGAAGTTCCTGAAAGTCCTCTTTGGCTCTGTCAATGATTTCCTTCTGGTGTTTGTTGTATATATCCAGATACTCCACCTCATCCAGCCACTGGTAGAAGTCTTCATTCATGATGAAACTCCTGGCTTCTTCCCAGGGTTTCCCTGGTGTAATGAAAGGAGAGACACTCAGCTTCTCCTTAAATTCCCATCTCATCTCAGCCCGTTTGCGCTCATTCCTTAGGTGTTCAAGGTGCATCTCATAGATATTTTCAGCTGTAGGGGTTTCCAAAAGGTCCTGGGGGATTCGATCATCCTCCAAGTTATCAATATGAGGTGTGGTCTCCCAGGGTGTGTCATCTAACACTACAAACCACTGGGAGAAATCTCTCTTTGTCTCCAGGACCTTCTGAACTCCAGACCAGCTGAGGTGGTCTATTTCATCCAACTCTGGTATCAGTATGGACAGAGCCTGTGGTAGAGTAGCTAGATAGGCCTTTCGGCGTTTCTCTATATGGTCTTGTTTAAGCCTGTGCACGTGCTGTTGGAAAAGCTTCTTGGCTTTAGGTGTACCCTCAAGGAATACGTACTCCTTGTATTCAGGGACAGACTGCATGCGGTGGCTTACAACAAGCCATGACTCATTATGGTTTTTCACTATCCTGTTGACCAGCCACTCGTAGCGGTCTTTGGCTGAGGCAATTTGTTGACTCTGTTGTTTCAGAGCTTCAAAGTAAGGAATAATTTTAGGTTTTCCCCTACTCTTGTCGATCAGCTGAACCAGTGTGAGAAAAGCTAGGTCTACGTTGACGTTTGAACGTGCTGAGGTTTCTACCACTTGCAGATTTTTCTTGGCTAGCGCAAATGTGTGTGAGTCTTTGATATAGCGCTCCACTCCTTCATCACATTTGGTAAGAACAACTACCAAAGGTTTCTTGGTTTTAGCAAGCTGGTTGTACAGGTTTGTCACAAACTTCATCTGGTCCTCAAAACTACGGTTCATACCCCGGCTAACGTCCACGCAGAGTAGGAAGCCATCCGCCAGTAACTTGCCTTCGGGCATCTGTTTTTGCTCGAAGTCCTGCTCTAGCCCAAGCTGATCAGTGCAAAAGTACATCAGCTTCTCAGCTGAAGCCAGCTTTAAGGAAGCAGCCCTCTTAATGTAAGGCTGAAGGGCAGTGCTCCTGTGGGGCTGGAAGGTCTGATCATCTATAAACTCTGTCTGCTCTACCACATTTATACGGCATTCTGGCCCCTCCTCCATTGTCCGACCTGCCTCTCCCCAGAAGAGGAAGTGGTCATTGTTCACCACACGTCCCCCAAAGTCACTTGTGCTGAGAACCGAGGTATGGTCCAGGTGGAAGTCATCCGCACTTGGTCGAACAAAGCGGTTACACAGGCATGACTTGCCCACTCCACATTGGCCTTTCTCCTTCTCCGTGCCGGACAGCCCAACCACAACCAGGTTGTAGGTGGGAGTCCGGACATCTTGCTTTTTGGCCATCATCATCGCTGGCAGAGGCTCATCCTGCCATGTCGGCCGCTATCTCTAAGGGGAGGAGGAGGCTGCCAAAGAAGAAGGGTTTCCATGCAAGAAGAGCTCAGTGGGCTGGAGACAGATCCTGCAAGACAGAGATAAAGGGAGAAAAGAAATTTAATAACTAAAATAGATACAAAAAATACATCACATTACATTTCAATAAAAGACTGTTTTCTTCCCATATCAAGATTTGTATTTGGTCTTTTGCTTTCAACAATGTTATTATTAATACAGTAGTCCCTCGCTATTTCGCGGTTCATCTTTCGCGGATTCACGACTTTGCGGGTTTTTGAAAACTGTATATATAAAATATACTGTATCCCGGATTTGGATCTGCAAGAGATGTCACAGGAATGGGACGACGATATGGTTCGATCGGTCCAATTTTGCAACAAAATCAACGATGGTGTGACTGCCTACAAGCTACTCTTTGACTGGAAAAAGAAGCAGCGGAAGCATCTGACGATCACAATGTTTTTGCAGAATCCCAAACAAGAGCCGGTTCCTGCTACTACTATGGCTACACCTTCGGAAACCGTGGAAGAGGTGCCCCAAGAAATGGCACCACCCTCTGGAGATACGTAAAATCAATCATCGGCTGCACAGTAAAAGTCACCATCATCATTTGAATGCGCATAAATATGGCGTCACTACTTTGCGGAAATTCAGTTCTCGGGGCAGGCCTTGGAACCTAGCTACTGCGATAAACGAGGGACCACTGTATTTTCATTCATTCTATTTCTTTGCTGTGTTATTTGGGGGTTACTGTAATGCTGCACCTTATTAAACATAGCTGTAGCTTTGTTTATTCTCAATTAACAAATAAAAAAAATAAAAATAACAAAAAGTTGGGTGACACCACAGCAGCAGCGCTCAAAGATTTTTCTCCACATTTTAATGACCAACTCTGTGTTTTGGCTACTTATCTCACATCTAACATTGTGGTTATTCATCTCACTGCCAGCAGCAGAGAAATAAAATTGTGTAGCTTTTTATCATTCTGAAAAATAGATGCAGAAAATCCTGCAGAAAAACATTAGGCACAAAAAGGGCCTGATCCACCAAATGAAAGAGCTACACAGGGAAATATAGATAATTGATACACAGCTGAAGGTACTAACTTTTGGTAGTTAATGAAGTTACCAACAAGAAAAGGAATTTGAAGGGGATTGTCTGTCGGCTGACTCATCACCACCAAAACACCTTCCCAAAGTTTCACACTAAATAAAACTGGAGCAACAGAAATAGAACTTTACCCTGAAACAGACACAAAGTCACTGATCTGTGTCTATATAATTCATGACATGAGTAAATCAATGACACAACCCCCCAGTACTGAAGGACAGCCAGAACACGGAGTATGCAGAACTGGACAGCCCGGCCCGTCCATGTCGTAACTGAAGTGTTAATGTAGTGAACAACCACTTCTAATCTTGAAAAGCTCATCTGAAAGGAAGTAAAAAAAAAAAGTCAACAAAGCAGCCGTCTAGTTTGTCAGAAGTGTGGATGTGTGACTCTTCAGACCTGCTCCACCAGTGGGTTTTTCAGTGAAAAGGATTTGTGTAAAAAGAAAGGCTTTTTTTTTTCCACTTTGACGCACAATACAAGAAGTACCACACAGGTACTACTCATAAGAGTCCTGATTTACAAGAAAGTCACTTATTGATAAAATTCTCAAAAAACAATTATTACGCTATAAATTTGCACTACGCACCAAGCCTCGGATTGGGTGTTATTGGCAAAAAACATTCTTTTTTATAATAATAACAATTATTCATGGCATTTTGTCAATAACAATTAATATGACGATTAATAGATTGCAATTACAATTGCATGTTTCTGACTCCAAATCGGTTACCCCGTGTTCTAAATTGATACTTACAAATCAGCAGTCATGCTAGCTTCTTTATTTGAATAGGTTAAAATAGTAAGATATGATTGGTGACTAATCAGCCATGTTCGAAATGTGTAAAAAAATGTATTGATAACCCTAGTGACTGTATCTCAGGTCCACTGTTGACATTAGTTGTTGGAAACCCATCTTTTCCACAAGATGGAGTGACAGCACGTCTCTCTTTCCATTTACAGGTCCCAGTGTGGAGAAGTTTGACACCTCTGGCGCTTTATGGCTGTGTTTCAAGTGACTACAGTAAATGAGTGCTGTGTGCTTGCCTACGACAGTGAGAATGTGTCGCACAGAAATACGTCATCATCACGCATAGGTTTGCCAACTCCCTTCTCACCTCAAAGGAAAGATTTTTATGATTCTACATAAGGGAGATTAAGGGAGTTTAAAGAGATAAAGAGCGTTCGGGTCAGTAGATAAACAGCTGACCCGTGTCTTGACCTTTTCGTGTTTTTGACACAACAGTCAGTCTCGACTACAATCAGCCACAATAGCAGCCCATGAAAACACAAATAAGATATCTATCCTTTTGATCATCATTTGATTTGACACCGATTTCATCAATGTGGAGTGAAATGCCTTGACATGCTGGGAAAACTGAGCGAATAAATCACCTGGAGAGCTGACAGAGGGCGTTCATAAACAGAGGAGGAGGAACATCATTCAGCAGATATTTATAATTTATATATTAACTTTGCCGACAAAGGATTTATCCAACACGACATCCTGGTGATCTTTGTGTGAAATATGCCATCTTAGTGATGGGTTGTGCGACTGCCTGGATTAAATAAAGTCAAACACTCCCAAAGTCCCTGTGGTGCTCGAGGCAAGGCAGGCGGAAGACTCGCACAGATGCAACACTAACATCTGCTCCAACGACTCCACCTTATCTTTTTCTAAGAATGTTGCTATGTGTGCAATGTATGTGAATCTACAAGTCTGCACACATTTTCTGACACACTACTAAACAGTCTGCAATAAAAAGTTCAGACTAGGTGTGTGTGTGTGTGTGTGTGTGTGTGTGTGTAGATAAGAAACAGGTGGCGTATCGAAATTTAAAGTTAGAGGGACAGTAGCGTGGCAGGTTTGTCTTTCAGCGTGGACACGCTGGCGGCAGGTGTGTGTGTGTGGCAATCTTACAGCTCAGGATTCAAGCCTAAGTGATGTGAGGACCCAGTTGTTTCATTATCGTCCACTGCAGCCGATGATAATGAAGAATAAATGCCTCTTGAGACTGATATGGTCAACTCAAACTGACAAACACAATCATTTGACAACACAGCTGCACAATTCAGCCCAAATTAACAGCTTGCCATTTGGCTTTTTATGCGCACCAATTTTTACACAATAAAGCTTGATGTATGAGGAATCGACTTTCTCGTTCGTCTGTGCTTGACAAGTCTCAGTGCAGCAGTGTTTTCGCAGACTTTCCCAAATCACCCCGAGGCCTTGCGTCTGCTGCGCATGTCCAGCCACATACCATTGTCTCGGGGCCCAAGGCTGTTTCGGGCTGAGGCAGAGATAGCTTAGGGCCTGCGTTGTATCTGCCTCTGACCCTGAATCATGAGGGCAACAGAAATGGAGAGGGAATGTGCGTGAGGGAGCGAGAGAGACACATCGAGAAAGAGAGGGAGGAGGAGATGATGGAAGGGCTTCAAAAAAGGAAACTCTACGGAGGAGCAGGGGTGAGAAATTAGTGCAAACCATCAGAATGGGAATGAGAGGGAAGAATGGACGTGAGGGTTAAAGGAGAGGGGTCAGTGGCCTGGGCCATGTGAGCAACACATTGCAACCCCCCCCCCCTTCAGGGAAGAGGAGCAGGGTGGAGTGTAGCCTGAGCGACTTGGCCTGATGAGCTGATAGGATGCCTCTGTAGTGGACCTGAGTGCTGCCTGGAGCTCATAATGAGGCGACAGCGCGTGAAGTTCATCACAACACGTGTTACAAAGGGCATCAGTAAGGAGGCTATGGTCACTGGCCGTGAACAGAAACCATGTCTTCACAGGGAGGCTGCATTCCTTTCATTACAAGGTTGGGATGAGTTAGCAAAGGAGCACTGGCCTCCCCATTGGCCATTGGTACAGTGCATTAGGTCTGTATTTATATTAAAAAAAATTATATATATAAATATACATATAATATATATATATTTATATATACATATTATATATATATATATAAATATACATATATATGGCCATTAGTACAGGTCAAAGGTGCAAGTCTAGAGGTCTGAACAAGAAAATGTGACTCTTCATTATCAGGAAGCAATACATAAACCACAGTTTAAACATTTTAAAAAAAATAATCTTATCTAATTATAATAATCTAATTTATGAATAAATGCTACAAAGCGCCAATTTAAAAATACACCAAAAAAGAAGACAAGAGATCCCAGCAAGATTCTTGGCTGAATAGTATTATACAGCCAGGAAGGCTGGGATTTGACAGAAGCAGAGGTTATGAAATAGTCATGAAAGAGTTTGACGGTGATGATGACAGAAGGCTGAAGGGAAATTTTTTTTCCCTCTTTCTTGGTCTCCAAGTTAAAAGACCAACTCCTCAATGTCATTGCTTCGGTTCAGAAATGGAGTTCCTCTTCTTATTCTTCTTCTTCTTAACTCGTCCACTTTTCCCTTTTTGTCGCCGCACTCCTGCATATTCCGTCACCCACAACACAATTATAACGGTTCAAACTGACTGCAGCCCCTGACAAAGCCAGACCGGACCGCTACATTCAATCTTCTGCTCGAGGAGTGCACTCGGCGCCAGTTGACTACGCCTTAGACTTCATTAGAAAGTTAGTGTGTTTCGCCTCAGCTCAGTTCCAGTTCTCTAGACACAGCTTAACTTTAGACCCTTTACTTTGTCCATCACCGAGAGGAGACCATGGGTCCAGCATGTTGTTTGACTGTTAACAAGCGGGACACGCCAACTTCCACAGTCGGAGCGCGGGAGTCTTAGAGGGAGAATGTTTTAAATTCAACAGATCTGGGTTCACCTCTTTATGCCTTGTGCACACTGCAAAGACATTACAGGGAAGGCAGAAAAGGCAGACAAGACATCTCAATTCAACTGCCAGGAGGGTGTTACATTATTGTGAATAGTGAAGGCAGAGCAGCAACTGAGCTTTGAATAGAACGAGAGAGAGTAGAAGAGGCAGAGAAACGCACACA